GAGTCAGGAGTATGTAAAGTACAGGGTGTAGGAGTCAGGAGTATGTAAAGTACAGAGTGTAGGAATCAGGAGTATGTAAAGTACAGGGTGTAGGAGTCAGGAGTATGTAAAGTACAGAGTGTAGGAGTCAGGAGTATGTAAAGTACAGGGTGTAGGAGTCAGGAGTATGTAAAGTACAGGGTGTAGGAGTCAGGAGTATGTAAAGTACAGGGTAGGAGTCAGGAGTATGTAAAGTACAGGGTGTAGGAGTCAGGAGTATGTAAAAGTACAGGGTGTAGGGGTCAGGAGTATGTAAAGTACAGGGTGTAGGAGTCAGGAGTATGTAAAGTACAGGGTGTAGGGGTCAGGAGTATGTAAAGTACAGAGTGTAGGAGTCAGGAGTATGTAAAGTACAGAGTGTGTAGGGGTCAGGAGTATGTAAAGTACAGGGTGTAGAGAGTCAGGAGTATGTAAAAGTACAGAGTGTAGGGGTCAGGAGTATGTAAAGTACAGGGTGTAGGAGTCAGGAGTATGTAAAGTACAGAGTGTAGGAGTCAGGAGTATGTAAAGTACAGGTGTAGGAGTCAGGAGTATGTAAAGTACAGGGTGTAGGAGTCAGGAGTATGTAAAGTACAGAGTGTAGGAATCAGGAGTATGTAAAGTACAGGGTGTAGGAGTCAGGAGTATGTGAAGTACAGAGTGTAGGAGTCAGGAGTATGTAAAGTACAGGGTGTAGGGGTCAGGAGTATGTAAAGTACAGAGGTGTAGGAGTCAGGAGTATGTAAAGTACAGGGTGTAGGAGTCAGGAGTATGTAAAGTACAGGGTGTAGGAGTCAGGAGTATGTAAAGTACAGGGTGTAGGGGTCAGGAGTATGTAAAGTACAGGGTGTAGGGTCAGGAGTATGTAAAGTACGGGTGTAGGGGTCAGGAGTATGTAAAGTACAGAGTGTAGGAGTCAGGAGTATGTAAAGTACAGAGTGTAGGCGTCAGGAGTATGTAAAGTACAGAGTGTAGGGGTCAGGAGTATATAAAGTACAGAGTGTAGGGGTCAGGAGTATGTAAAGTACAGAGTGTAGGGGTCAGGAGTATATAAAGTACAGAGTGTAGGGGTCTGGAGCATGTAACACACAAAGTGCAGGTGCCAGCAGTTTGTAAATGGGAAGCACCCATGACAATAGGAAGCAATGAGAACTCCCCAGACCTTCTACACTATGGAGCAGAAGAGAGAGGAGACCTGGGGTGTTCTATAGACCAGGGTTTTGGGAAATGTTTGGGGCTTTTCAATAGGTTTTGTTTCGGCACATGAAGGTGGAGTGGAAAGAGATTGTTTTCCTTCCTGCAAATATTCTTTAATTTGATACATTTTCATCACTGGGGTACTGTTGTCCCTTTCAGCCCCTCTTAGGATATAAAAGCCTCGGTCTGACTCTGAAGACATCCCCCGAGGTTTATCACATCTCCTTAGGAATAAATGTTGGCTCACATCTCCCATACACGCCCTCATGGTACCGTCCTCTGACTTGGATGGTAAAAACTGGCTGAACAATAGGATGGGCCGGTGGGGAAAGTCTCTGACACCAAAGGGCTTCTGTTGATAAGAGCTGACAATTAGAGATGAGCGAATCGAACCAGGCGAAGTGGAATTCGTTTTGAATTTCAGGAAAAATTCGATTTGCATCGAATCCGAATTTTAGCAAACTTCGGGTGCACGAATCGAATTTTTCCCCCGATCAGATCAGCCGGCAAAAGTGTCACTGCAAAGAGCTCCGCTATTTCTGACAGTTCTCTGACAGTTCCTTCACATTTACAGCGGTTGAAACATTGTATCTATTTGTTTCCATTTAGGATACAGATGTTTTTATTCGGAAATAAATAGATACAATGTTTCAACCGCTGTAAATGTGAAGGAACTGTCAGAGAACTGTCAGAAATAGCGGAGCTCTCTGCAGATACACTTTTTGCTGTACTGGAATTCTTCTTCTTTTCATTCTTCTTCTTCTTTTCATTCTTCTTCTTTTCTTCTTCTTCTTCTTCTTTTCATTCTTCTTTTTTCATTCTTCTTCTTCTTTTCATTCTTCTTCTTCTTTTCTTCTTCTTTTCATTCTTCTGCTTCTTCTTCTTCTTCTTCTTCTTCTTTTTCATTCTTCTTCTTCTTTTCATTCTTCTTCTTCTTCTTTTCATTCTTCTTTTCATTCTTCTTCTTCTTCTTTTCATTCTTCTTCTTCTTCTTTTCTTCTTCTTTTCATTCTTCTTCTTCTTTTCATTCTTCTTCTTTTTCATTCTCCTTTTCATTCTTCTTCTTCTTCTTCTTCTTGTCATTCTTCTTCTTCTTCTTGTCATTCTTCTTCTTCTTCTTTTCATTCTTCTTCTTCTTCTTTTCATTTTCTTTTCATCATTCTTCTTCTTTTTTCATTCTTCTTCTTCTTCTTTTCTTCTTCTTCTTCTTCTTTTCATTCTTTTCTTCTTTTCTTCTTCTTCTTTTCATTCTTCTTTTCATTCTTCTTTTCATTCTTCTTCTTCTTCTTTTTATTCTTCTTCTTCTTCTTTTCATTCTTCTTCTTCTTCTTTTCATTCTTCTTCTTGTCATTCTTCTTCTTCTTCTTGTCATTCTTCTTTTCATTCTTCTTCTTTTCATTCTTCTTTTCATTCTTCTTCTTCTTCTTTTCATTCTTCTTCTTATTCTTTTCTTTTCATTCTTCTTCTTCTTCTTTTCATTCTTCTTTTCATTCTTCTTTTCATTCTTCTTCTTCTTCTTTTCATTCTTCTTCTTCTTCTTCTTCTTCTTCTTCTTCTTCTTCTTTTCATTCTTCTTTTCTTCTTCTTTCTTTCTTCTTCTTCTTCTTCTTCATTCTTCTTTTCATTCTTCTTTTCTTCTTTTCATTCTTCTTTCTTTCTTCTTCTTCTTCTTTTCATTCTTCTTTTCATTCTTCTTCTTCTTTTTCATTTCTTCTTCTTCTTTTTCATTCTTCTTTTCATTCTTCTTTCTTCTTTTCATTCTTCTTCTTCTTCTTTCATTCTTCTTCTTCTTCTTTTTCATTCTTCTTCTTCTTTTCATTCTTCTTCTTCTTTTCATTCTTCTTCTTTTCTTCTTCTTTTCATTCTTCATTCTTCTTTTCATTCTTCTTCTTCTTCTTTCATTCTCCTTCTTCTTCTTTTCATTCTTCTTCATTCTTCTTCTTCTTTCATTCTTCTTCTTTCTTCTTCTTCTTCTTCTTGTCATTCTCTTCTTCTTTCTTGTCATTCTTCTTTTCATTCTTCTTTTCATTCTTCTTCTTTTCTTTTCATTCTTCTTCTTTCATTCTTCTTCTTTTCATTCTTCTTCTTTTTTCATTCTTCTTCTTCTTCTTTTCATTCTTCTTTTCATTCTTCTTCTTCTTTTCATTCTTCTTCTTGTCATTCTTCTTCTTCTTGTCATTCTTCTTCTTCTTGTCATTCTTCTTCTTTCTTCTTGTCATTCTTCTTTTTCATTCTTCTTTTCATTCTTCTTCTTCTTCTTTTCATTCTTCTTCTTCTTCTTTTCAAATCTTCTTTTCATTCTTCTTCTTCTTCTTTTCATTCTTCCTCTTCTTCTTTTTCATTCTTCTTTTCATTCTTCTTCTTCTTTTCATTCTTCTTCTTCTTTTCATTCTTCTTTTCATTCTTCTTCTTCTTCTTCTTCTTCGTCGTGCCCCGTGACTGCCCAAATGAGTGAAGTGTGCGGTGATTCTAAGATCGACGGCACTCATCTGCATGTCATACTGACTGACAGTATTATTTCTCTTCCCCAGCAGACTCCAAGGGCATTTAAATTAAAGGTACAGTGTTCTGCACTAATATAAAGGCTCTCTGAAGCCTAGAAACACTTTAAAATAAGTTAAATTCGCGGCGAATAAAATTCGCATCGAATCGAATTTCTCCCGCAAATTCGGCGAATCAGCCGAATCGAATTTTTGAATAATTCGCTCATCTCTACTGACAATTCTCTTCCCCTAATGACAGCAGGCTGGAAACTCACCTTTTATTTCTAGCTGGCCTCCTAATCTGTGTGTTCCTGTCTTCCATTCACTACAAAGCTGAGAAAAGTGACACATTCGTTATGATCCTGCTGGACTTGCAAAGATAGAAGCTGGAATAGTTGTAATAAAAAGGGAGAGGCAGGGAAATGTTTTTATTTATTTTTTAATATACATATGAATGTCATCTACTTACAGTGGATCTTCATCTGCTTTCCTCTCCGGACGGCACCATCTTTATTCAGGCATCATCCAGGATCACTATCTACTTCTTGGACTGAGATGCTGGCTCAGAGATGGCACAATCATGCAAATTATTGTGCCTGTGCAGTTCTTGGCTGTGATCACAAATGTCTGACACAGATCAGCCCCTGCTGCCAGTAGTGGGACAGGTTTGTCCAGTGCCCAGCGCAAGGATGAAGAACTGTGCTCCCTTCCACTGCTGCTAAGGCATGCTGTAGATTTTGTGTATCTCCTATTCTCTCCCAACTTGCTCTGGCTGTCCATGGTTGGTATCCTTGTCCAGGGCAAGGATGCAGAACTGCCCCCCCACCCCCCAGCCCCCATGGCCAGATCTAGGGGGGTGCTGGGGTGAGCCGTACCCAGGCTATGTGCAGTGCAGGAATGGGAGAAGGAGCTGTGCCCATCCTCTGCCCTACCAGCAGTGACCCCTTTCCTCTGCCCTGCCAGCGGTGACCCCTGTCCTCTACCCTGCCAGCGGTGACCCCTGTCCTCTACCCTGCCAGCAGTGACCCCTGTCCTCTGCCCTGCCAGCGGTGACCCCTGTCCTCTGCCCTGCCAGCAGTGACCCCTGTCCTCTGCCCTGCCAGCAGTGACCCCTGTCCTCTGCCCTGCCAGCGATGACCCCTGTCCTCTGCCCTATCAGCAGTGACCCCAGTCCTCTGCCCTGCCAGCAGTGACCCCTGCTGGGAATTGCAGTCCATCAATTTTTTATTTTTTTTTTGGGTAGGGAGGTGTCACATCCTAAAAGTGTTACTAAGCCCAGGACCCTGCATTCACTATATCCGCTCTCCCTGGACCCCGCATTCACTATATCCGCTCTCCCTGGACCCCGCATTCACTATATCCGCTCTCCCCGGACCCTGCATTCACTATATCCGCTCTCCCCGGACCCTGCATTCACTATATCCACTCTCCCCGGACCCTGCATTCACTATATACGCTCTCCCCGGACCCTGCATTCACTATATCCGCTCTCCCCGGACCCTGCATTCACTATATCTGTTCTCCCCTGACCCCGCATTCACTATATCCGCTCTCCCCGGACCCCGCATTCCCTATATCTGTTCTCCCCTGACCCCGCATTCACTATATCCGCTCTCCCCGGACCCTGCATTCACTATATTCGCTCTACCCGGACCCTGCATTCACTATATCCGGTCTCCCTGGACCCTGCATTCACTATATCTGCTCTCCCTGGACCCCACATTCACTATATCCTCTCTCCCAGGACCCTGCATTCACTATATCCACTCTCCCCGGACCCTGCATTCACTATATCCGCTCTCCCCGGACCCTGCATTCACTATATCCGGTCTCCCTAGACCCTGCATTCACTATATCCGCTCTCCCCGGACCCTGCATTCACTATATCTGTTCTCCCCTGACCCCGCATTCACTATATCCGCTCTCCCCGGACCCTGCATTCACTATATCTGTTCTCCCCGGACCCTGCATTCACTATATCCGCTCTCCCCAGGCCCTGCATTCACTATATCCACTCTCCCTGGACCCCACATTCACTATATCCTCTCTCCCAGGACCCTGCATTCACTATATCCACTCTCCCCGGACCCTGCATTCACTATATCCGCTCTCCCCGGACCCTGCATTCACTATATCCGGTCTCCCTAGACCCTGCATTCACTATATCCGCTCTCCCCGGACCCTGCATTCACTATATCCGCTCTCCCCAGGCCCCGCATTCACTATATCCGGTCTCCCTGGACCCTGCATTCACTATATCTGCTCTCCCCGGACCCTGCATTCACTATATCCGCTCTCCCCGGACCCTGCATTCACTATATCTGCTCTCCCCAGATCCTACATTCACTATATCCGCTGTCCCCGGACCCTGCATTCACTATATCCGCTCTCCCCGGACCCTGCATTCACTATATCCTCTCCCCGGTCTCCCCCAGACCCTGCATTCACTATATTTGCTCCCTCCCCGGACCCTGCATTCACTATATCCGGTCTCCCCAGACCCCGCATTCACTATATCCGCTCTCCCCGGACCCTGCATTCACTATATCCGGTCTCCCCAGACCCCGCATTCACTATATCCGCTCTCCCCGGACCCTGCATACACTATATCTGGTCTCCCCCCAGACCCCGCATTCACTATATCCACTCTCCCCGGACCCTGCATACACTATCTGGTTCCCCGGACTATATATCCGCTCTCCCTGGACCCTGCATTCACTATATCCGCTCTCCTTGGACCCTCTGGTCTCCGCAGACCCCGCATTCACTATATCTGGTCTCCCCGGACCCTGCATTCACTATATCCGCTCTCCCTGGATCCTGCATTCACTATATCCACTCTCCCCGGACCCTGCATTCACTATATCCGCTCTCCCTGGATCCTGCATTCACTATATCCACTCTCCCCGGACCCTGCATTCACTATATCCGCTCTCCCTGGACCCTGCATTCACTATATCCGCTCTCCCCCGGACCCTGCATTCACTATATCCGTTCTCCCCGGACCCTGCATTCACTATATCCGCTCTCCCCGGACCCTGCATTCACTATATCCGCTCTCCCCCCGGACCCTGCATTCACTATATCTGGTCTCCCCGGACCCTGCATTCACTATATCCGCTCTCCCCGGACCCTGCATTCACTATATCTGCTCTCCCCGGACCCCGCATTCACTATATCCGCTCTCCCCGGACCCCGCATTCACTATATCCGCTCTCCCCGGACCCTGCATTCACTATATCCGCTCTCCCCGGACCCTGCATTCACTATATCTGCTCTCCCCGGACCCTGCATCCGATCCGATATCCAATCTCCCACAGTACACACAACATGGAAATGCAATTATTATAGTAAATATAAACTGCTAAATCCCTTTTCTCATCAGCAGTATAGAGTAGTCTTGTGACCTCTATCAATGTTCAGCAGAGCACTGGTTAATGCTTGTAGGAGGAGTTTTCCATTTGCTTTAAGAGGATGCAGAACCCCTGACCTCTCTCTGGACAGTGCTGATTTGCCCTGTGCTGATTACATGCCCTCTCCCAAGAAAAAAACAAACCCTCTCTAGCAATACACACCAAACTGAGCATATGCAGAGTGTCTCCACACAATATGTCTTCTCAGGAGATAAGATGGGAACACTGGAAGAAGGGGAGGAGCAGAGAAGACAGGATCAAACAGTCTTTTTACACAATGCGGAGGATTAACCCCTTAGGTTCCAAAGTGAGTATAGCAAACATGCTTACCTGCATCTACAAACTGATTTGACTGTTGTGGGTTTAGTAACACTTTAAATCTCAGGAGTTCATGCTGAGACTTGTAGTCCTTCACTAGTTGGGTGGGTGTCACATTCTTAGCTCTGAAGGGTTCATGCTGGGACTTTCAGTCTGTCAATTTTGGGGGCAGAGGTCACATGCTTAAATCTCAGGGGTTCATGGAGGGACCTGTCTGCACTTCCTGCACTTTAGTTCCTGGAGGCCATGGTGGTACAAGTCCCCCAGGGGCCCATAATGGCCACATTGTCCTTCTCCCACCTTTGTGATTGTGGAAAACCTTAGACTGTTTTCCCCGATCCATCACTCTGCCACCATTGGCTCCAATTTCCAAGGCTTTAGCAAGCAATAACGACTGTAAATCACGATTAGGGACCATAGCACGTTCTATTTCCACCCATAGCTAGTCCCGAGGATGAAACCTTGCTTCTACCTGATCCTGCAGAGCAGCATAATAATACTTGAAAATCATAGGGAAGCCTACTCCACCTTGTGATTTGGGCTTGAGTAGGACCGAATAGGCAATTCTAGATTTATTTTACCCTGCCATATACTCTCACCGGCCACTATATTGGGTCCACCTGTTCGATTGCTTGGTGACACAAATTGCTAATCAGCCAATCACACGGCAGCAACTCAATGCATTTAGGCATCTAGATGTGGGGAAGACAACTTGCTGAAGTTCAAACCGAGCATCTGAATGGGGAAGAAAGGGGATTTAAGTGACTTTGAACGTGGCATGGTTGTTGGTGCCAGACGGGCTGGTCTGAGCATTTCAAAAACTGCTGATCTACCGGGATTTTCACGCACAATCATCTCTAGGGTTTACAGAGAATGGTCCGAAAAAAAGAAAATATCCAGTGAGTGGCAGTTGTGTGGAGGAAAATGCGTTGTTGAGGTCAGAGGTCAGAGGAGAATGGGCAGACTGGTACGAGATGATAGAAAGGCAACAGTAACTCAAATAACCACTCGTTACAAACAAGAATACCATCTCTGAAGGCACCACACGTCCAACCTTGAAGCAGATGGGCTACAGCAGCATAAGACCACTCCTGTCAGCTGAGAACAGGAAACGGAGGCTACAATTCACACAGACTCACCAAAATTGGACAATAGAAGATTGGAAAAACATTGTGTGTCCAGTGCAAAGTACTCAGGGGCGGGGAGTCCTGGTGGTCACATGATTGGAAGCCGGTTCTGCCAGTTTCTGATCTGTAGCCTGGACTGGGAGCTATCAGCGCGGTCTTTGTGATGAGAGCGTACAGCCGCAACGTGACGCATACGTGTGGCATGGGGGCTAAAGCCCACCCTTTGGTCACTGTACATACTGTGCATGGTGGGCAGCTGTAAGTTCCCGGTCACGCTGATGCGATTTCACATCTATAGAATGTGAACGTCAGTATTTTAAAGTGGAGCTCCACCCAAAAGGGGAAGTTTTGCTTTAAGCCTTTGTCCCCCACTCTGCATTGAGGATTGGCACCTTTGAGGAGCGGGTACCCGAATTTGACAGGTACCCGCTCCCACTTCCACTGCAATCACCTAACTGATCGGAAGCAGAAGTTGTCCTCCCCCACTTCCCTCCCCGTAGTCTTCTGGGACAGGTCCCAGAAGACTACGGGGCCATTCACAAAGTGCATGCACAGTGGGCACCCGGCTGTGAAGCCACAAGCTGTCACAACCAGGTGCCCACACTGAAGATGCTGGCGCCAGGGACAGAAGACGGCCGGTGAAGCCATCCGAGGTGAGGACACCACTGGACCGAGGGACAGGTAAGTGGCTGTATTTTAAAAGTCAGCGACTACAGGTTTTTTTAATTATTTATTTCAGGTACTTATATAGCGCTGTCAAATTACACAGCACTTTACATATATATTGTACATTCACATCAGTCCCCGCCCCCAAGGAGCGTACAATCTAATGCCCCTAACTCACATTCATACATACTAGGACCAATTTAGACAGGAGCCAATTAACCTGTCAGCATGTCTTTGGAGGAAGCTGGAGTAACCAGAGAAAACCCATGCAGGCACAGGGAGAACATGCAAACTCCAGGCTATGGTTGGGATTTGAACCAACAACCTGAGTACTACCAGGCAGAAGTGCTAACCATTTAGCCACTGTGCTGCCCGCAGGTTTTTCAGGTGGAACTCTGCTTTAACCTGTACAATTTGCTGCAGCGCGATTTCTAAAGTAGTTCTTGTGTTACTTTTTCTGCAGTTTTGTTGCGATTTCACACTATTTATTTCAGGTACTTATATAGCGCCATCAATTTACACAGCACTTTACATATATATTGTACATTCACATCAGTCCCTAACCCTCAAGGGGCGTACAATCTAAGGTCCCTAACTCACATTCATACATACACATACTAGGGACAATTTAGACAGGAGCCAATTCACCTCCCAGCATGTCTTTGGAGTGTGGGAGGAAACTGGAGTACCCAGAGGAAACCCACACAGGAGAACATGCAAACTCCAGGCAGGTGGTGCCATGGTTGGGATTTGAACCCTGCCCGAGTACTGCCAGGTGAAAGTGTTAACCATTTAGCCACTGTGCTGCCCTATACTTAAAATATAACGGAAATAGCACTGCAGATTGCAAGAAATCGCTGAAAATCTTCACTATTAGCTTCAGAAATCGCACCTGAAATCGTGCTAAAAATTGTGTACAAATTGCACGATTTTAAATCGTAGTGCTGTGACCAATGAATAAAATGGTCATCGATGAAATCCAGAAAATGGTCATCGATGAAATCCAGAGAAATGGTCAGCGATGAAATCCAGAGAAACGGTCAGCGATGAAATCCAGAGAAATGGTCAGCGATGAAATCCAGAGAAATGGTTATCGATGAAATCCAGAGAAATGGTCAACGACGATGAAATCCAGAGAAATGGTCATCGATGAATTCCAGAGAAATAGTCATCGATGAAATCCAGAGAATGGTAAGCGATGAAATCCAGAGAAATGGTCAGCGATGAAATCCAGAGAAATGGTCAGCGATGAAATCTAGAGAAATGGTCATCGATGAAATCCAGAGAAATAGTCATCGATGAAATCCAGAGAAATAGTCATCGATGAAATCCAGAGAAATGGTCAGCGATGAAATCCAGAGAAATGGTCCTATGTCTTCCCAATCTCACAGCCTCACCTCTGCACAGCAATAAAGCGATGTCTGGAAATATGTAGTGACACCATTTTATTACACTTGGCCTGGAGGTTGTAACAATTAAGATAATTCTTCTCATTTTTCATCTCTAAATAAGTCCCGGCATTAACTCCGCGGACGCTGTGGCGTTTTTTTTTTTTTTTTGCATCTTAGAAGCTGCAATGCTAATCAAATGTATTTTCCGGATTGGATTTGAGTTCTGATAATTTATTCTGCGTTAATGCATTGCCGGTGTTGGGTGGTATTGGCGTGCTCTATTAAGTGTTTTTCTGTTTTAGCATTAATTGCTTGTAATTTGTAGATGTTTGTCTGCCATCCTAACGCTGATGACTCATTGGTGGAAAGGCGACTGAAATACTACAACTACCGACTTCTGGAGGGGGAGGGGTAAGTGTCCGCGCCGTGCTGACACACTGAGAAAATATGGGAGTTCAGGATCTGTAATGTAGAAAATGAGCCGTTAGAAGAGCATAAACTATTACAGGCTGAAAATGGCTGAAGCTGCATACTCAGCGCTAGACGAGTGCACAACAGAAACATTTGCTTCGTTTCAGATCGATTTGTTAAGTTATTTGTTTCATTTTGTTGCCACAACATGACTGCCCACCAGTGCACAAAGCAAGGTCCATAAAGACATGGAGGAGCCAGTTTGGGGTGGAGGAACTTGACTGTCCTGCACAGAGTCCTGACCTCAACCCCATAGAACACCTTTGGGATGAATTAGAGCAGAGACTGCAAGCCAGGCCTCCTCCCCCGACATCAGTGCCTGACCTGACAAATGGTAGGGTTCAATATTGAGTTGGCCCCGCCCTTTGCAGCTATAACAGCTTCAACTCTTCTGGGAAGGCCGCCCACAAGGTTTAGGAGGGTGTCTATGGGAAGGTTGGACCATTCTTCCAGAAGCACATTTGTCAGGTCAGGCACTGATGTCGGGGGAGGAGGCCCGGCTCACAGTCTCCGCTCTAATTCATCCCAAAGGTGTTCTATGGGGTTGAGGTCAGGACTCTGTGCAGGGCAGTCAAGTTCCTCCACCCCAAACTGGCTCCTCCATGTCTTTATGGAGCTTGCTTTGTGCACTGGTGTGCAGTCATGTTGGAACAGGAAGGGGCCATCCCCAAACTCTTCCCACAAAGTTGGGAGCATGAAATTGTCCAAAATGTCTTGGTATGCTGATGCCTTAAGTGTTCCCTTCACTGGAACTAGGGGGCCAAGCCCAACCCCTGAAAAACAACCCCACACCATAATCCCCCCCTCCACCAAAATTTACACTTGCAGTCAGGCAAGTACCGTTCTCCTGGCAACTGCCAAACCCAGACACGTCCATCGGATTGCCAGACACAGAAGTGTGATTGGTCATTCCAGAGAACACGTCTCCACTGCTCTAGAGTCCAGTGGCAGCATGCTTTACACCACGGCATCCGACGCTTTGCATTGCACTTGGTGATGTAAGGCTTGAATGCAGCTGCTCGGCCATGGAAACCCATTCCATGAAGCTCTCTACGCACTGTTGTTGGGCTCATCTGAAGGCCACACCAAGTTTGGAGGTATTTAGCTATTGACTCTGCAGACAGTTGGCGACCAGGGGCGGACTGACCATTTGGAAACTCGGGCACTGCCCGAGGGCCCGGGGTCAGTAGGGGGCCCCATGAGATGCCCCTGCTACCTTTTTCATAGGCTTTTTTTTAGTTTGGGCAAGGACACAGGGGCCCCATGATCCCCTATTGCCCGAGGGCCCCATGAGTTGTCAGTCCGCCCCTGTTGGCGACTTCTGCCCACTGTGCGCTTCAGCATGCGCTGACCCCACTCTGTCATGTGACATTTCCTACCACTTGGTGGCTGCTGTTCCCAGTTGCTTCCACTTTGTTATAATCCCACTGAACAGTTGAGCGTGGAATATTTAGTAGCCAGGAAATGTCACGGATGGACTTATTGCCCAGGTGACCACCTATCACGGGACCACGCTTGGAGTCACTGAGCTCCTGAGAGCGACCCATTCTTTCACCAATGTTTGTAGAAGCAGTCTGCATGCCTAGGGGATTGGATTGTATACACCTGTGTCCATGGAGGGGATTGGAACACCTGAATCACATGATTTGGAGGGCAGGAACAATACGTTTGGCAATATAGTGTATATATTTTTTTTTCCTGCCTTTTTTCGTTTATACTGCACAAAAATAAAACAAAACAGTGATGATCAAATACCACCAAAAGAAAGCTATATTTATGTAAAAAAAATTATATAAATTTCATTTGGGTACAGCGTTGCATGACCGTGCAATTACCAGTTAAAGCAGCGCACTGCTGAATAGCCAAAATGCCCTGGTCATGAAGGGTGGTAAAACATTCTGGGGATCAAGTAGTTAAAAATAATCTGAAAGATGCTGAATTATATATGACTGTGAGTTAGGGACCTTAGATTGTACGCCCCTTGAGGGTGAGGGTCTGATGTGAATGTACAATATATATGTAAAGCGCTGTGTGGGTTTCCTCCGGGTACTCCGGTTTCCTCCCACTCTCCAAAGACATGCTGGTAGGTGAATTGGCTCCTGTCTAAATTGTCCCTAGTAGGTGTATGTATGAATGTGAGTTAGGGACCTTAGATTGTACGCCCCTTGAGGGTTAGGGACTGATGTGAATGTACAATATATATGTAAAGTGCTGTGTAAATTGATGGCGCTATATAAGTACCTGAAATAAATAAATAATAATAACAGCACCTATCAGATACATATATACGTATGATATAGGAACAGGGGCGGACTGACAACTCATGGGGCCCCCGGGCAATAGGGGATCATGAGGCCCCTGTGTCCTTGACCAAACTCAAAAAAGCCTATTAAAAAGGTACCAGGTGCATCTCATGGGCCCCCTACTGACCCCGGGCCCTCAATAGGGGATCATGGGGCCCCTGTGTCCATGCCCAAACTCAAAAATGCCTATGAAAAAGGTACCAGGGGCATCTCATGGGGTCCCCTACTGACCCCGGGCCCTCAGGCAATCCCCGAGTTTCCAAATGGTCAGTCCGCCCCTGTATAGGAAGGATATATAGGATATAGGAATTTAGTTCAGATCTATCCAATTAGTATTTTTTTTTTCTTACAATAAACCTGAATCTAAAACGATTATAAACTTCGTCTTTCCAACATATCCTCTAAATTAAACAACGCCGATTAAAAATGATAATGATTCAGACACATTGGTGTGAGGAGCGGGGGATGGCGGGTGAAGGTGCTTGATACCCGCGTGTCACACACGTTGGGGACGTCGCCCCTCTTAGTTCACAAGGCGTCCCCCGTCTGTCACTATATACAAGACATGCGTTGAAAAATATTATGCAAATGAATGACTTTTCCAGATTTAATGCCGTCCGTGAAATGTATTATTTATATAAAACATGAATATCGCCGAGGTCGGCTGCTTTGCGTCGATGGATCATCACAACACTTGCGCAGAATTCACAATGTATTTGGCCTTTCTTATTACATTGATGGGCTTTTAAATGTATTGTTCATTGGGAACCTGGGGGCTCAGGGACCCCGGGGGCTCCAATCACATTATCGCATAGCGGGAGCAAGAGTTCCTGCTACGCGATTTTGATATGTGATTTTCAGATGAGTCTGCATGTTGCATAGTGCCAGCCTGTTCATTTCAATGCGCTGCCCTATCAGTGTTGGTCGTCCGAAAAGAAACTCCGGCCCCTCTTGTGGTGACAAGCGTCACGCAGCCGCTTCTGCATTTTTTTGCGCACGCGTTCAAAAAATAATTTTATTATTATATTATTATATCGAGTTTATATAGCGCCAAAGGGTTTACTCAGCGCTGTACAATAGAGGGGGGGGGGGGACAATACAAGAAACAGAACAGCAACAACAACACTACACGAGGGGTTCAAGGCCCCCTACTCTTTCGAGCTTACAATCTAGGAGGGAGGGGGTAGTGGTACAGGAGGAAGTGGCTGTGGGGGATGGAGTGGTAGGAGGAATGAAGGAGAACGGCTGTTAGGTGAGGGTGGGGTAGGCTTCCCTGAAGAGGTGGGTTTTCAGGGAGCGCTTGAAGGTGAGGAGGGTAGGTGACAGTCTGATGGATTGGGGTAGTGAGTTCCAGAGGATAGGGGAGGACTTGGAGAAGTCTTGCAGTCGTGCGTGGGAGGAGGAGACCAGAGAGCAAGATAGAAGGAGGTCCTGTGAGGAGCGAAGGGTACGGGTGGGGTGGTACTTGGGAAGCAGGTTGGTGAGGTAGTCAGGGGCAGTGTTGTGAATGGCTTTGTAGGTCAGGGTTAGTAGTTTGAATTTGATGCGTTGGGAAATCAGGAGCCAGTGGAGGGATTGGCAGAGGGGGGTGGCAGAGGTGGAGCGGTTGGTGAGGTGAATGAGTCTGGCTGCTGAGTTCAGGATGGTCTGGAGCGGGAAGAGCCTGCACTGGGGTAGGCCGGTGAGAAGGGAGTTGCAGTAGTCAAGGAGTGAGATAATTTTAGGCCTGAAGATGACACAAAACCCCCAAACATGATATATTTTCTGAAAGCAGACACCCTAGAGCAAGGGTGTCAAACTGGCGGCCCTCCAGCTGTTGCGCATCTACAAGTCCCATCATGTCTCTGTCTTTGGGAGTCATGCTTGTAACTGTCAGTCTTGCAATGCCCCATGGGACTTGTAGTTTGGAAACAGCTTGAGCAGCCTTTTTCAACCAGGGTGCCCAGGGGGTGTCTTGAGGTTTCTTCAGGGGTGCCTTGAGGCTTCTTCAGGGGTGCCTTGAGGCTTCTTCAGGGGTACCTTGAGGCTTCTTCAGGGGTACCTTGAGGCTTCTTCAGGGATTCCTTGAGGTTTGTTTAGGGGTGCCTTGAGGCTTCTTCAGGGGGTGCCTTGAGGTTTCTTCAGGGGTGCCTTGGCGAAATGTCTACAAATTGCCCAGACCTTTATACAAGCCAGCGTGTGGAACAAGCCTGCCTTTTAGTTATACAAAGTCACAGGTTTTCATTGTGCACCATTATGACCTTCTAGCCACCAGCGTCCTGACAACCAATGACATCATCGGTTGATAAGGAGGATGTTTGCTGCTTTCACAGCATCCTAGTTTGACCCTCACCTGCCCCTCTCCCATCAGTGCTGGGGTCACATTAGCTCAGTGATGGAGAAAAACTGAGGGAGAGGAGAAACACGGGAATACTAGTCAGTACCAGTGTGCAAAAATGTATTTGCTTTGGAAGAATAAATCCCTCTAATGTTGGGTGTCCTACGTGTGTGGATGTTGCGTCGTTATATAGAACTATTAGAATCATTTTACACATTTTAGAATGGGGCGCCTCAAGACTGTCCATAATTTTAAAGGGTGCCTCGGGACTGTCCATAATTTTAAAGGGTATGTCGGGACTGTCCATAATTTTAAAGGGTACCTCGGGGCCGTCCAGAATTTTAAAGGGTGCCTGAAGACTGTCCATAATTTTAAAGGGTGCCTCAAGACTGTCCATAATTTTAAAGGGTACCTTGGGACTGTCCATCATTTCAAAGGGTGCCTCGGGACTGACCATAATTTTAAAGGGTGCCTCGGGACTGTCCATAATTTTGTCCAAAGGGTGCCTCAAGACCATGTCCATAATTTTTAAAGGGTACCTCGGGACTGTCCATAATTTTAAAGGGTACCTCGGGACTGTCCATAATTTTAAAGGGTGCCTTGGGACTGTCCATAATTTTAAAAGGGTGCCTCAGAACTGTCCATAATTTGAATGGGTGCCTCGGGACTGTCCATAATTTTAAAGGGTGCCTCAGAACTGTCCATAATTTGAATGGGTGCCTCGGGACTGTCCATAATTTCAAAGGTTGCCTTGACTGAAAAAAAAGGTTGAGAAACACTGAGCTGGAGGGCCACCATTCTGACACCCCCTGCCCTAGAGAATAAAAGAGTGGTAGTTCCAATTTTTTATGTCATGCGATATTGCCGCAAAGGTCTAGGAAACACAAAATTTCAGTGAAAAAACACACTAAAGTGAGTTTTAGGGAAAACAAACGCAATCAATTACCCACATTTTTGGTAAAATATAAAAGATGAGGTTGTGCCGGGTAAATAGATACCCAACATGCCAAACCAAAAATTTGCAGGTCATCGGTTTAGCTTTACAGAGGAGATCTTGTACTAGATTTATTGCTCTCACTGTGGCGATATGTAACATGTGTATCGCAATTGATGTATTCATGCGTGATTTTTTATTTTTTTTCAATTTTCTGTATTTTTTTTTTCATTATAGAGCAAAAAAATAAAAAACCCAGTGATGATCAAATACCTCCAAAATAAAGCCCTATTTGTGTAAAAAAAAATATTTATTACAGGTACTAGTATAGCGCCATCAATTTATGCAGCACTTTCCATATACAGTTGCAAGAAAAAGTATGTGAACCCCTTGGGATTACGTGGAGTTTTGCATGAATTGGGCATAAAATGTGCTCTGAACATCATCTAAGCCACAACAATAGAAGAACACAGTCTGCTGAACATAATACTACACAAACATTAGATGTTGCCTTGGTTTAATTGCACATAACATGTAAACATTCACAGTGCAGGGAGGAAAAAGTATGTGAACCTTTGGACTTAATAACTGGTTGACCCTCCTTTGGCAGCAATAACCTCAACCAAACGTTTCCTGTAGTTGCAGATCAGACCTGCACAACGATCTGGAGTCATTTTGGACCACTCCTCTTCACAAAACTGTTTCAGTGTAGCAATATTCTTGGGATGTCTGGTGTGAATCGCTCTCTTAAGGTCATGCCACAGCATTTCTATCGGGTTGAGGTCAGGACTCTGACTGGGCCACTCCAGAAGGCGTATTCTGTGCTGTTGCAGCCATTGTTTTTGTTGAATTACTTGTATGCTTTGGGTCATTGTCCTGTTGCATCACCCATCCTCTGCAGAGCTTCAGTTGGCGGACAGATGGTCGTACGTTTTCCTGCAAAATGTCTTGATACACTCTGGAATTCATTTTTTCATCAATGACAACAATCCATCCAGGCCCTGAGGCAGCAAAGCAGCCCCAAACCATGATGCTCCCTCCGCCATGTTTCACAGTGGGGATGAGGTTTTGATGTTGGTGTGCTGTGCCTTTTTTTCTCCACACATAGTGTTGTGTGTTCTTCCCAAACAACTCAATCTTGGTTTCATCTGTCCACAGTATATTTTGCCAGTAGTGCTGTGGAACATCCAGGTGCTCTTTTGCAAACTTCAAACGTGCTGCAATATTCTTTTTGGACAGCAATGGCTTCCTCCGTGGTGTCCTCCCATGTACTTCATTCTTGTTTAATGTTTTCCTATTGTAGATGTGTCAAAAAAAATGTTAGCATGTGCCAGAGATTTCTGTAGGTCTTTAGCTGACACTCTGGGATTCTTCTTTACCTCATGCAGCATTCTGCGCTGTGCTCTTGCAGTCATTTTTACAGGAAGACCACGCCTAGGGAGAGTAACAACAGTGCTAAACTTTCTCCATTTGTAGACAGTCTGTCTTACCGTGGACACATGAACATCAAGGCTTTTGGAGATACTTTTGTAACCCTTTCCAGCTTCATGCAAGTCAACAATTCTTGATCGTAGGTCTTCTGAGAGCTCTTTTCTGTGTGGCATGGTTCACATCAGACAGTGCTTCTTGAAACCAGTAAACCCAAAACAGGTGTGTGTTTTTTAAGGGCAGGACAGCTGTCAGCAACACATCCAATATCATCACACTGATTGGAGTCAAGGTTGGTTCACTCCTGGCTCCAATTAGCTCTGGGAGAAGTCATTAAGCCTCACATACTTTTTCCTCCCTGCACTGTGAATGTTTATATGTTATGTGCAATTAAACCATGGCAATATCTAATGTTTGTGTAGTATTATGTTCAGCAGACTGTGTTCTTCTATTGTTGTGACTTAGATGACGTTCAGAGCACATTTTATGCCCAATTCATGAAAAACTCCACGTAATCCCAGGGGTTCACATACTTTTTCTTGCAACTGTATATTGTACATTCACATCAGTCCCTAACCCTCAAGGGGTGTACAATCTAAGGTCCCTAACTCACATTCCTACATACACATACTAGGGCCAATTTAGACAGGAGCCAATTAACCTACCAGCATGTCTTTGGAGTGTGGGAGGAAACTGGAGCACCCAGAGTAAACCCACACAGGCACAGAGAGAACATGCAAACTCCAGGCAGGTGGTGCTGTGGCTGGGATTTGAGCCAATGACCCCTAGTACTGCCAGGCAGAAGTGCTAACCATTTAGCCACTGTGCCGCCCCACTATAAATTTTATAACAGAAACTGTGTTTTTTGTTAAAAAAAGGTGGTTATTTTTTATGTTTATATAGCAAAAAAATAAAACACCCAGTGGTGATTAATAACACCAAAAGAAAGCGCTATTTGTGTGAAAAAAAAGGATCTAAAATTTCATTTATGTACAATGTTGCATGACCGAGCAATTGTAATTAAAAGTAGCCCCAGTGCCGAATAGCAAAAAAATGGCCTGGTCATACGGGGGGAGGGTTGAAAATTCCGGACGGCGAGTGGTTAATATTATTATTTTTTTTTTAGTTGGCACTCTGCATTTTGCTGCATTCAAATGCTGTTCCTTTCAGAAATGTCACATTTGCAAAGTGTTCTAAATAACAAATTTTCAGCCAGAACAAAATCAGCAAAAAAAAAAAAAAAAACGAAAACGCACTTTAAATTCAGTGTTGATGGTGCGACTAGACATAAATAACACCAAAGGTTGTAAAAAGGCTCTTTTGTGTCTGTTTACAGTGAAAGCATTGACGCATTCTCGCATTTTCACGCCGGCAGTTTCAACAAACCCATAACGGCTCCTCGACCCAACAGGGCCGGATAAAAGGGCTGCGGATGGCTCTGGCTTTCCAGAAATACTGATTCCAATGGAAATGGACTGAACATTCGGGCACTGCCTGAGGACCTGGGGTCGGTATGGGGCCCCATGAGATGCCCCTGGTACCTTTCATAGGCTTTTTTTTTGGGTGTGGTTTGAGTGTGGGCGAGGACACAGGGGCCCCATGATCCCCTATTGCCCGGGGGCCCCATGAGTTCTCAGTCCGCCCCTGATTCCAGGCTTTCTGATGGAGCTCAGCGAGTGTCGGGGGCCCCATTCACGCTTTGCGTTTCTTGAACGCGTGACAAAATGCAAAGAAAGCACGGGAAACACCGAAAAAAAAACGCACTGCCTAAGCGCATTGCGATTTGGGGTGTCATTAATAGTCAACAGCACCCCAAACCTGGTTATCAGACGCTGACTTTTCTGTGTTTTGTCGCAAACTGAGACACACGCGCTGAAAAAAACACACACGCAACACTCCACACCTGGGCAGCACAGTGGCTGAGTGGTTAGCACCAGGGGCGGACTGAGAACCCATGGGGCCCCCGGGCAAAAGGGATCATGGGGCCCCCTGTGTCCTTGTCCAAACTCAAAAAAACCTATGAAAAAGGTACCAGGGGCATCTCATGGGGCCCCCTACTGACCCCAGGCCCTTGGGAAGTGCCCGAGTTTCCAAATGGTCAGTCCACCCCTGTATAGGAAGGATATATAGGATATAGGAATTTAGTTCAGATCTATCCAATTAGTATTTTTTTTCCTTACAAAAACCTGAATCTAAAACAATTATAAAACTTCGTCTTTCCAACATTTCCTCTTAATGAAACAACGCCGATTAAAAAGTCCGCCCCTGGTTAGCACTTCCGCCTGGCAGCACTAGGCTCATTGGTTCAAATCCCACCCATGGAACCATCTGCCTGGAGCTTGCATGTGCTCCCTGTGCCTGCGTGGGTTTCCTTCCACACTCCAAAGACATGCTGGTGGGTGAATTGGCCCTAGTATATGAGTTAGGGACCTTAGATTGTAAGCTCCTTGATCCCAGGTTCACACCTCTGCGGTGCAGTATATTGCATGTGATTCGCACAGGAACCGCAGCACATTCCAATGCGAATTCTGTGCAGATGGTGATTTGAGCCATACATTTTGTAAACCGCAAATCGCACCGCATCCGGCACCTAACATAAAATTTGTAATATTTTTTTTAAATTGCTTTCCCAGAAATGTAGATTTTTTTTTTTAAAAAAAAAAAAAGGGGGACACACAGTATATTTAAATTTGTATTTTAACCATTCCAGTCCGGACTTTTTCCCCCCCCTTCCGTCCGGACATTTTTCCCCCCTTTTCCAGTCCGGCACTTTCCCCCTTTTCCCGCCCGGGACCCCTTTTCCCCCTTTTGTCCGGACATTTTCCCCTCCCTTCCGGGCCCGGGCACTTTCCCCCCTTTCCGGGTCCGGACACTTTCCCCCCCCTTCCCCGTCCGGACACTTTCGCCCCCTTCCGGGGACATTTTCCCCCCTTTCCCGTCCGGACACTTTAAACCCCTTCCAGCCCGGGGGACACTTTCCCCCCCTTCCTTTTCCGGACACTTTCCCCCCCTTCCTGTCCCCCCCCCCCCCCCCCCCCCCCCCCCCCCCGGGATCCTTTTCACCCCTTCCTGTCCGGAAATTTCCCCCCCTTCCAGTCTTGGAACTTTCCCCCCCTTCCCGTCGGGGCACTTTCCCCCCCTTCCCTTCCCGGGAAACCCCCTTTCCCCCCCTTCCCTTTTCCGGACCTTTCCCCTTTTTCCCAGTCCGGGACCTTTCCCCCCTTTTCCAAAGCCCCACCTTTCCCCCCCTTCCAGCCCGGACCTTTCCCCCCTTCAGTCCGGACACTTTCCCCCCCTTCCAGCCCGGGAACTTTTCCCCCCTTTCCCGTCCGGAACTTTCCCCCCTTTTCCGTGGGGCCTTTCCCCCTTTCCCAGTCCGGACCTTTCCCCCCTTTTCCAGTTTGGACACTTTCCCCCCCTTCCTTTTGGGAAACCCTTTTCCCCCTTCCAGCCCGGACATTTTTTCCCCCCCTTTCCATTCCCCCCCCCCCCCCCCCCCCCCCTAATTTCCCCCCCCTTCCGTCCGGACATTTTCCCCCCCCTTTTCCATTTGGACATTTTTCCCCCCCTTCAGTCCGGCCCTTTCCCCCCTTCCAGTCCGGCCATTTTCCCCCCCCTTTCCAGTCCGGACACTTTCCCCCTTCCGTCGGACACTTTCCCCCTTTCCCAGTCCGGACATTTTTCCCCCCCTTTCCGTCCGGCCCTTTTTCCCCCCCCTTCCTTTTCCGGAAATTTTTCCCCCCCCCAGCCCCGGCCCTTTTCCCCCCCCCTTTTCCAGCCCCGGCCTTTTCCCCCTTTCCTTTTCCCCGGAAAATTTTTCCCCCCCCCTTTCCAGCCCAAAGACACTTTTCCTTCCCCCCCCTTTCCAGTCCGGACACTTTCCCCCCTTTTCCTGTCGGCCCTTTTTTCCCCCCCTTCCGTCCGGACATTTCCCCCCCTTTCCCAGCCCGGACACTTTCCCCCCCTTCCAGTTTCCTGGAAAACTTTCCCCCCCTTCCGTCGGCCCCTTTTTTCCCCCCTTCCGCCCCGGCATTTTCCCCCCCCCTTCCCGCCCCGGACACTTTCCCCCCAAACCCGGGCCCGGCACTTTCCCCCCCTTCCAGTCTGGACACTTTTCTCCACCCCTTCCAGTCCGACCTTTCACCCTTCCAGTCCGACCACTTTCCCCTCCCTTCCAGTCCGGACACTTTACACTTCACCCCCTTCCTGTCCGGTGTGGTATCACTTTCACGCCCGTTCAGTCCGGACACTTCCCCCCCTTGCCAGTTCCGGACACTTTCCCCCCCCTATCCAGTCCGGACACTTTTGCCCCTTTCCAGTCCGGACACTTCAGCCCCTTCCAGTCCGGACACTTTCGCCTCCCCTTCCATTCCGGACACTTCCCCCCCCTTCAAGTCTCCAGACACTTTCCCCCCCTTCCTGTCGCGGACCACTTTCGGCCCCCCTTCCCAGCCCGACCACTATCGCCCCCTTCCAGTCTGGAACACTTTCACCCTCTTCCAGTCCTGAACACTTTTCACCCCCTTCCAGTCCGGACACTTTCCGCTTCCCCCCTTCCAGTCCGTACACTTCCCCACAACTCGTCACCCCCTTCCAGTCCAGACACTTTCACCTCCCTTACCTGTCCGGACACTTTCATCCAACCCCCTTCAAGTCCAACAAGTCACTTTCCCTCCCCTTCCAGTCCGAACACTATTCCCGCCCTTCTCAGTCCGAGACACTGTCACCCCCTTCCAGTACCGGCACACTTTCCACTTTCACTCCCTTCCTGTCCAGGACACTTTCACCCCCTTCCAGTCCGGACACTTTCCCCTCCTTCCTGTCGGACACTTTCCCACCCTTCCAGTTGACACTTTCCACTCCCTTCCTGTCCGACACTTTCCCATTCACCCCTTCCAGTCCGGACACTTTCACCCCCTTCCTGTCGGACACTTTCACCCCCTTCCAGGTCCGGACACCTTTTCCCCTCCCGTCCAGTCCGGACAACTTTCACCCCCCCTTGCCAGTCTGGACACTTTCTCTCCCTTCCTGTCCGGACACTTTCTCCCCCTTCCAGTTCCGGACACTTTCGCCCCCTTCCAAGTCCGGAAACACCTTTCGCCCCCTTTCTCTGTCTGGACACTTTTCACCCCCTTCCAGTCTCGGACCACTTTCACCCCCTTCCAGTCCGTACACTTTTCACCCCCTTCCTGTCCGAGACACTTTCACCCCCTTCCAGTCCGGACACTCTTTCTCTCCCTTCCAGTCCTGATCTTCTCCCCCCCTGTCCAGTCCAGAACTTTCCCTCCCCTTCCCAGTCTGGGACACTTTCACCTCCTTCCCAGTTCCGGACACTTTCCCCCCCTTTCAGTCCGGATCACTTTCTCCCCTCCTTCCACCAGTACCGCGACAACTTTCGCCCCCTTCCAGTCCTCGGACACTGTCGTCCCCTTACCCGTGATAGACACTTTCCTCCTCTCTCACCCTTCCAGTCCGGACACTTTTGCCCCCCTTCCAGTCCGGACACTTTCGCCACCTTTCCATTTCCGGTACACTTCCCTCTCCCTTCCAGTCCGGACACACAACTTTCCTCCCCCTTCAGGTGTCCACCTTTTCGGGACACTTTCGTCCCCTTCACAGTCCGGACCATTTCGCCCCCTTACCTAGTCCGGACACGTTTCGCCCCCCTTACCAGTGTCCGGGACACTTTCGCCCCCTTCTCAGTCCGGTACACTTTTTGCCCCCTTCCAGTCCGGTACACTTGCGCCTCCTTCCATTCCGGACTACTTCCACCCCTTCCTGTCCGGACACTTTCCCCCCCTTCCAGTCCGGGAACACTTTCGCCCCCCTTCCAGTAGGCCGGCCACTTTTGCACCCTCTCCAGTCTGCGGTCATCTTTCGCCCCGCTTTGCCAGTACCTACCCTCTGCAGCTCCCTTCCCAGTCCGGACACTTTCGCCCCCTTTCAGTTCTCGGACACTTTCCCCCCCCTCCCCCCCCCCCCCCCAAGACTTAAGATCCACCCCTCTTCTTGTCCGACACTTTTCCCCCCCATCCATCTGGACTACTTTTCCCCCCCTTCCCAGCTCCGGACCCTTTCACCCCCTTCTCCCCGTCCGGACCCCAACTTTCACCCCTCCTTCCCCTCGTTTCCCTGCGACACTTTCATCACTCCCCGTCCTGTCCGGACCACTTTCACGCCCTTCCAGTCCGGACTCTTTTCCCGCCCCTTCCAGTCCGGGACCAACTTTCCCCCCCTTCCAGTCCGGACAACTTTTGGCCCCCTTCCAGTCCGACACCCACTCACCCCTACCCAGTCCGGACACTTGCGCCCCCCTTAGATTCCATGTCCGGACACTGTTCCCCCCCTGTCCAGTACAGACACTTTCCCCCCTTCCTGTCCGGACACTTTCGCCCCCTTTCCAGTTCCGGACACTTTCGCCCCCTTCCAGTCTGGACAGCTTTCCCCCCCTTCCAGATCAGGACCCTTTCACCCCTTCCAGTACGGACACTTTCCCCCCCTTCCAGTTCCGGACAACTTCGCTTTCCCCCCCCCCTATCCTGTCCGGACACTTCATACATCAACCCCCTTCCTGTTCCGGACACTTTTACACCCCCTTCCAGTCCGGACACTTTCCACCCCTTGCCAGTTCCGGACACTTGCCCCCCCTTCCCAGTCCGGACACTTTCACCCCCTTACCAAGTCCCGGACTCTTTCCCTCCCTTCCAGTCCAGATACACTTTCCCCCCCTTCCAGTCCGGACACTTTTCCCTCCCTTTCCAGTCCGGACACTTTACCTCTCTCACCTTCCAGTCCGTAAGACATCTTTCCCCCCCCTTCAAGTCCCGGACACCTTTCACCCCCTCTCCTGTCCGCCAACACATTCACCCCCGTTCCAGTCCGGCGACACTTTTCCTCTCCCTACAGTACGGACACACTTTTTTTCCCCCACTTCCAAGTCTCCGGACACTTTCCCTCCCTGTCCTGACCGGTACACTTTCCACCCCTTCCAGTCGCGGACCACTTTCCCCCCCTTCCAGTCCCGGGCCACTTTCACCCCCTTCCTGGTCTCTGGACACTTTCACCCCCTTCCAGTCTCGGACTACTTTCCCCCCTTACAGTCCGGACACTTTCTCCCCACTTCCAGTACCGGACACTTTCCCCCCCTTCAAGTCCAGACACTTTCCCGCCCTTCCAGTCCCCGGACACTTTCACCCCCCTTCCCAGTTCCGGACACTTTCCCCCCCTTCCCTTCCAGTCCAGGACCATCTTTCCCCCCCCTTTCCTGTCCGACACGTTCACGCTGCCACACCCACGGGTAACGCCACTAGACTTTCAACCCCCTTCCAGTCCGGACACTTCCCCTCCCGCCCTTCCAGTCCGGACACTTTCACCCCCTTTCCAGTCCGGACACTTTCTCCCCCTTCCAGTCCGGACACTTCTCCCTTTCCTTACCAGTCAGGTCACTTGTCCCACCCTTCTCCAGTCCCGGACACGTTCGCCCCCTTCCAGTCCGGACACTTTCGCCCCCTTCCAGTCCGGACCACTTTTGCCACCTTCCAGTCTGGACAACTTTTCGAGCCCCCTTCCATTCCGGGACACTTTCTCATGATCTCTTTCCCCCCTATCCCAGTCCGGACACTTTCCCCCTCTTCCTGTCCGTTACACTTTTGCCCCCTTCCAGTCCTGACACTTTCGCCCCTTTCTGTCCGGCACACTTTTCCCCCCTTCTTGTCCGGACCCGACTCTTTCACCCCCGTTCCAGTCCGGGATCACTTTCGCCCCCTTCCAGTCCGGAACACTTTCCCCCCCTTCCAGTCCGGACACTTTCCCCCCTTCCAGTCCGCACTTTCATCCCCTTCCAGTCCGGACACTTTCACCCCCTTCCAGTCCAGACACTTTCCCCCCCTTCCAGTCCAGGCCAATTTTCAGCTTTCAGTGCCATCACACTTTGAATGACAATTGCGCAATCATGCAACACTGTACCCATATGAATTTTTTAGCATTCTTTTGAGACAGATAAAGCTTTATTTTGGTGGTATTTATTCACCACTGGGATTTTTATTTTTTTTGCTATGTAAATTAAAAAGGGCCCAATGAAATGGCCTGGTGGATCAGATCCTCTCGGTTGGCCTTGTGAGCTAGATGTTAGTGGTGGTCCTCATGCTAGGTAATGAGGCAGGCTCTGACTTTCTGCAGCTTCTAATGCACATGGTGATAAGCTCACAGTGTGCAGTGAAATCAGAGGAAGATATTCCAGTCTAGGAGAGGAGCCGGAACCCCTATGCAAGACTGAAGGAGAGGAGCCGGTACACCTGTGCAAGACTGAAGGGGAGGAGCCGGTACACCTGTGCAAGACTGAAGGGGAGGAGCCGGTACACCTGTGCAAGACTGAACGGGAGGAGCCGTGACACCTGTGCAAGACTGAAGGGGAGGGGCCAGTACACCGGTGCAAGACTGAAGGGGAGGAGCAGGTACACCTGTGCAAGACTGAAGGGGAGGAGCCGGTACACCTGTGCAAGACTGAAGGGAACACTTAAAATCTTAAAGTCCTTTCCATGAAAATTGCAGCCGTCATTGAGTGACATTGACGTACACAGTCCTGCCTGTATCCTCGTTGCTGAGGGGGTGGGTAAAGTGTAAATAGTAGCACGGTACTCGCACGTGTTGATTCCCGCGGGGAATGTTGATGTAAATGACTGTGATCGATCCGCATGCTAAATCCACAATCTTCCCGGCCATGAGATGCGGCATTTCCATCGGGTGTTTCATCCATCACGCAGCCAATGTTGCTTCTGCAGCATACATAATATATTCTTATGATTACAAGAAACCGGGGAATTAATTCACTTTCCTGGACTTTACAAACCCAGCGCTCAAAGATAAAAAGATATTCCTTAAAAATTTACTACAAGCTAAACAAACGTGGATAAAAGATCTTCTGTACAGAACTTGAAAAGTCTTAGAATGTCAAAAAATGTATAAAAAAACTCTTCACGTGTGTGTCATCTGCTGTACAAAGCATAGGAAATACTAGTGGTTGGGTTGAACATTTCAAAGGACCCCAGCATCAGATTAACTCCTGATCTAAGTGTATGAGGGGTCTTCAAAAAGTTTCCGTACTTTTATACATATATACAGTATATAGGTTACAAAAAAAAAGTGCGGAAACTTTTTGAAGAACCCTGGCATGTTCAGTGATGCGTCCATGGAACCCTTGGAGATATCTTCTACCTCTCACAGAGATCAACTCCTGAAAGAGTTCCTACATTGAAATTCGGGACTTTTGGGTCAATGCACTAAGGTTAGGTTCACACCTATTCAGTTTGTGTTTGATCCGTTTCTGCAGTGCTTTTTGTGGTGCGATTTGCGTTTTTGCACATGTGTTTTTCACACATTTTGGATGCGTATTCCATCAAATGTGCTTTGATGTTCAGCGATGAGTCCGTGGAACCCTTGGAGATATCTTCTACCTCTCACAGAGATCTCAGTACTCCTGAAAAAGTTCTTACATTGAAATTCAGGACTTTTGGGTCAATTCACTAAGGCTAGGTTCACCCCTATGCAGTTTGCGTTTGATCCGTTTCTGCAGTGCTTTTTTGGTGCGTTTTTGCCACGTTTTTGATTGATTCGTATTCCATCAAATGTGTTTTGATGTTCAGTGATGTGTCCGTGGAACCCTTGGCGATATCTTCTACCTCTTACAGAGATCACAGTACCCCTGAAAGAGTTCCTACATTAAAATTTGGGACTTTGGGGTCAATTCACTAAAGCTCAGTTCACACCTATGCAGTTTGCATTTGCATTTAGCTCAGATTGCTGAAAAAGTTAATGCTAGATTCTGGTCAAAAAGTGTCAGAACACACAGACCATGGCAGTTTGTTGTGTATGGGGCTGTGGTCAGGGAGCCCATGCTGACCCGTGTTCACAGCCAAAAGTGCCTGCAATGGGCACATGAGCATCAGAACTAGACCATGGAGCGATGAAAGAAGGTGGCCTGGTCTGATGAATTCAAGAATGGTTTAAGGAACACAACAACAAGGTGGAGGTAACGACTTGGCCATCAAATTCAATCCAATCAAGCATCTGTGGGATGTGCTGGAAAAACAAATCCGACCCATGGTGGCCCCCCCTGACAACTTACAGGACTTAACGGCTTGGTGCCAGATACCACAGCTTACCTTCAGAGGTCTCATGATGTCCATGCCATGATGGGTTATGGTGGGTGGTGATCACATTATGGCTGATCGGTATGTAGATAAAAGTCCATTCATATTCACATATTGACCATAAACTCTCATTTTATCAGAGATACCGCATACAAAAATATGTGTACAATAATTTTAAAAGAACATTAATCATTTTTTATAGGGGTGTCGATTACTTATATAAAGTAATGCCTGTCTTACCACATCTGGCCTGGGCCAAACATAGAATTTTTAGATCCTTGAAGGCATAACCCATCTATGAGAGAATATCACAATAGTAATATAATAATTTTTGCCTTTGGTATTTACTATTACATTACTATTGTGATTAACTCCTTCCCGCTCGGCCTATTGTAGGATGACAGCCGAGTGGGATCCCTATTATCTTGGGAGGACATCATATGACATCACTAGGATGATGGCCAAGTGGGATCTATATTATCTTGGGAGAACATCATATGACGTCACTAGGATGATGGCCGAGTGGGTTCCCTATTATCTTGGGAGAACATCATATGACGTCACTACGATGATGGCCGAGTAAGATCCCTATTATCTTGGGAGGACATCATATGACATCACTAGGATGATGGCCAAGTGGGATCTATATTATCTTGGGAGGACATCATATGACGTCACTAGGATGATGGCCGAGTAAAATCCCTATTATCTTGGGAGGACATCATATGACGTCACTAGGATGACGGCCGAGTAAGATCCCTATTATCTTGGGAGGACATCATATGACGTCACTAGGATGACGGCCGAGTAAGATCCCTATTATCTTGGGAGGACATCATATGACGTCACTAGGATGACGGCCGAGTGGGATCCCTATTACCTTGGGAGGACATAATATGACGTCACTAGGATGACGGCCGAGTGGGATCCCTATTACCTTGGGAGGACATAATATGACGTCACTAGGATGACGGCCGAGTGGGATCCCTATTACCTTGGGAGGACATCATATGACGTCACTAGGATGACGGCCGAGTAAGGGATCCCTATTACCTTGGGAGGACATAATATGACGTCACTAGGGTGACGGCCGAGTGGGATCCCTATTACCTTGGGAGGACATCATATGACGTCACTAGGGTGACGGCTGAGTGGGATCCCTATTACCTTGGGAGGACATCATATGACGTCACTAGGATGACGGCCGAGTGGGATCCCTATTACCTTGGGAGGACATAATATGACGTCACTAGGGTGACGGCCGAGTGGGATCCCTATTACCTTGGGAGGACATCATATGACGTCACTAGGGTGACGGCCGAGTGGGATCCCTATTACCTTGGGAGGACATCATATGACGTCACTAGGGTGACGGCCGAGTGGGATCCCTATTACCTTGGAAGGACATCATATGACATCACTAGGGTGACGGCCGAGTGGGATCCCTATTACCTTGGGAGGACATCATATGACGTCACTAGGGTGACGGCCGAGTGGGATCCCTATTACCTTGGGAGGACATCCTATGACGTCACTAGGATGACGGCCAAGTGAGTTCCCTATTACCTTGGGAGGACATCATATGATGTCACTAGCATGACGGCCAAGTGAGTTCCCTATTACCTTGGGAGGACATCATATGACGTCACTAGGATGATGGCCGAGAGGGATCACTATTATCTTGGGAGGACATTATATGACGTCCTCCCAGGATCGCGGCCTCGCGTGCACCCCACAGGCAGTGCCTCGGTGCGATCTGTTACTGGCTGTGTCCACCAGACCCCAGAGTACCTGTCCCATGCCATCTCAAGGCATATTGTTCATCCCTTGTGATAGCAACAAAGTAAAAATAAAGGTACAGTGTAGAAATAAAAATAAATACATTTCATGGGCTGAGACCAACTTATTTTAGTTGCTTCACTTGGTATACCTAATGACTCATAAACTAAAATCCTTTTCTGAGATCCAAAAAGCTGCCCATCTACCTTCTCACCAATATTATGTTCATTTAGAGATTCAACATTTTTTCTCCTCCAGAGTTCCATCGTTAACTTTTGAGAAGACTACCTCCTTTGAGTGTATTTGTATTCAAGGCTCACACCAGCGAGGCATAACCTCCTCTACTTATAAGCTCCTTCAAGATG